ACGACTTAGGTTATATAGCATTATGAGGAAGTTGATAAATGAAAGTGCACGAGACTTTTAATATTCCTTTCAGGCAACATGATACCAAAATTCCGTCGTTTATGTGTTAATGTGCAATTAAAATTTGATCTTATAGGAATTATTGCTGGTGTTATGACGCATTATTCTTAATTTTGTAATAATAAATCTTCCTTAGAGTAAACGAAGTTTGAAAATTAAATAACCATACTTTTATACAAAAATATATTACAGGTATCCAAAAAATATGTATACACATATTCAATAAATGAAATAAAGACAATTTAATAAAATAAATTATTTTATACGTCGTGAATCAAGTGTAGGTGTTCAAAATTACCACCGTAGTTTCGTGGTACAGTTGACAGCGGCGAGTAACTGACTGACAAGCGACCACCAAAATTACTGTTGTGTATACATCTTTTTGTAACGAGCTATACGCCTCTCCCCCCAAGCGCCTACATGGCGTATAGTGGGACAGCTTTACTGCCACTGAGCCTGGAAAGCATTACAGAAGCAACTTTTTCGAAAGTTATTTCATTACTGTCATCTCGATGATATGAATGTCTTACGGTGGCTCAAAATTAAATCCGTTCAAGGAGATATTTAGTTTTAGGAATTTGATAAAGACGATAAATCAGGCGAGCATTCGTTTATTGATTGAAATTCAATTATGTGGGGAATCGCATTTTTACGAAATTCCAATCCTTCAGAAAACTATTCAGCCCGCATCAAACACCCTGCCATGACGATTCTAAAACTTGAGCGCAGATTACTTGGTTGATTTTTTAGAGGAATAGATTCGTTACGGGTGATTTATTTGATAGAATAAAAGAATATCATCTTGGATTTTCTCTGGTGTAGCATAAAATTCACACCCCAGTTTGATGGCTTTCCGGTGATACGTCTAAACGTTACGACGGGCACGTTCGTTACATGAAACGTCTTCTGAAGAGCAGCTTGCAGAGGTTTCATTTCAAGGACAGGAATTACAAAGAACGACGTAAGAAGGGAAGTCATTCACAAACACTTTAAAATAAAACTTTGAGATAACTTTCTTCTGGTTTGTTGCGCAGTGTAGTCTGATAGAAATTTGCCGACGTTTCGGAGAAACTTCAGAGCGATAACAATAGTTTATTATAGAGATGTCAGTTGATATAGATAAATCAGACGGTGGTTTAGCGGTTAGAACGCTGGCCTTGTAATCCTGGGGTCTCGGGTTCGATTCCCGGCGGTGCCCGAATTTATAACTTGTGTTGGGCAAGGCCGTGGTCTAGGCAACACGGAGTTTTCCTCCGTGGCATCCCAACAATTACTCCATTCACACACAGAAGAAGGCAATGGCAAACCACTTCTGGATCATCTGCCAAGAACGTATATGAACAGGTCCCAGTCCGAGAAAAGGATGGAAGGATCCTGTTCATATGGACCTGTCGTCAGACAGAACACTAAATAAAAATAAATATAGATAAATCCTTGATATATGCAGCCGTCAGGAATCATTTTTGGGATTTTTAAATACCTTCGGGGTAAATGTTCACTTTTACTAAACATTAATTGCCAGCTAATTATTAATGTCCATAATTCTTTAACCGTGAACATCTGGACAGTCCAGACAGTAGAGTTGCAATTATGGAAAACGCCTAGAAAGTTTTCGTACGTGTTTTAGGGACTCTTGGGAAAAGTCATATCAGCATGTAAACACTTACATACAACCCTGCTGTGGTTTGAACAACAATTTTGTATTAACACTTAATCACTCCAAATAAAGTATGTAGAGCTGTTGAAACAACACCACTGGACAGAACAAAGGCCTAATGCTCATTGTCTGATTTTCGTTAGTGAATGTGCTGATGCTTAGCAAATGTCCACTTAATCAACGTTCAGATCTAAAGGCATCGAAAATCATTTGTGGTGTATATGACACTCGAATTAAACGATTACTGCCCTTGTAATACCGTGTTAATTACAGTACTGATTGTTAAAAAGGGGGATTTGGAAGTTGCGCCGACCGTGCAAGAGTGGTTTTCTTGCTCACATAAACAATGGGTAATTGTAGGCCTGTGTTTTTCAGTTCGGAGCAATGTCATTTACTACCGAACTTTTTGGTCTTCTGTTTCATAGACGCCCGATACCTTCCTGTGTGTTGGGACGAGCATCTCTCGTAACACGGGATCAGCCACGGTAAGACCCCGGATCGTAGCTGGTATGTCCGGAACTTAGCATGTCAGCAACATTACGTCCCAAATGTCGATATCGGAAGATTTATGGCCGCCGAAGGTCGACACATGTCTTCCCTTTTCTTAATGACACCTGAAAACTTTCGTTCCTAAAACGTCCAGAGAAATATTGATTGCTCGATCACTGTTTCTGAAATCATAACGAGTTTATTGAATGCCATTAGACTTGTGTTTCGCGTTTCCTTTGGGCTGATTTCTGTTAAGAAATATTGGTTTGTGTCAGCCACTTCCACACAAATGTTCTCATAATGGTTAATTTCGCAGCCGACTGCGACAAAACTCCGTGTCGAAGATTTACAATAAAACGTGTCAATTCACTTGTATTTCTGTTTAATTTGGTTCAGTGCAAATACCGGCTTATTTGAGTGTCTAGATGGATTTTTATGTAACCATTGACATCCTATAGCGGAACTTAATATGCGACATTTCTGTTAACTGTGTACCATATGTTGGCAATCCTGACTGACGGAGATTTTCACCAGTATCTCTATGCGATTTCTGATATCGTCCTTAAAATAAGTCACGACCTCTTGTAATTCATTACGCACTCGCAATTCTTATTCGACACTATAAATCTGTGCAGGTGGAACGCCGTCTATGAACAATCAAAGAATCGATCATATCGATACTACGTAGGTCGTTCAAATGGCTGATTTGAATTTGTTAATCCTATTTTAGTCTCGGATTTGACTCCGATTGTTCTGACTGTAGTTTCTCATTTTTCCGCGAGAGTGAAAGCTGGAGATGACTTGGGACAGATGGCGCTACCTCGCAGCTTAGTGGTTAGCATTCCTACTTCGTATTTGGAAGATTTTCGATTGGACTCCAGACCCGGAGATTACCTGTCTTTCCTAGGACTGTTTATAACTTTCCTCAGACCTTCCAGGCATATTCTGGAAAGCAATTAAAGTAGGCCACGAACGCTTCCTGAATCTCTTCTCATTTGTCGTCATGTAGTGTGATCAGTTGAGATGGCGGTATTAAATAAAGTAAAAGAGATAAGCAATTCCCTTGAGTAAACAAGAAACCTCTCAGGTCAGAAAATCGGTTCTCCGTTTGAACCAATTATCCAGCCTCCAGCCAAACTTGTTCAGTGCGTGAAATTAGATTATAAAAGCGAGGCGCATGGGACAAAAATAACTCACACTGCGCCCGCCCCTGAAGTCTTGCCGGGAAGAAGACTAATCTAATATCACATATAGGCTTTATAGGGAACAGTGTTCATGACGAAGAAGTGTTTGACGTCTAAGTTTTGTCTTTGTTTCCCACGATCTTTCCGTTCTTCCGTATTTTCTCTCTCTCTCTCTCTTTCATTGCTTCGTTCTCTATCTCTTTCGTTCTTCATGTTTGTAACTTAAAGAAACTTGTTTCTAGAGTCAACTCGCACGTGCGTTTAAGTTACTCCAGAATGTCTTAATGTGGCTTCAGTGTGTCTGTGGGGCCCTCTCTTGTTAAAGGGTTGGTGAATTTTCTTCATAGTTTTATTCAATACACACAATTTAGATGCATTATGAATATCAGCCTCAGATCCTAAAACTAGTAGTTACATTCTATATAAAGGTGAAACATAAAATGGCTGTCAATATTTTGTATGAATTATACCAGAGTACACGGCTCTGCAATCAGAAGCCATCCATCGCCGTGAAAACCTAAAATCCTACTAATGTAAACAATTTAGCGGCATAAAGTAAAATGACAACTTCACAACAACAGATTTGTATCTGCAAAAACAAATATCGCCAACTAGATAAGTTTATGCAAAATTGCGAGGGACGCGTTGGAGAAACAGAGATCAGCGTTCGCTGAGTACCTTGCTTTGTAAAGATTTCTTTTTAGTCTTCAGGAAATTACTTGGCAGGCAGAGATTTATCGGTCGGCCTACGAAATTGTTGTAGTTACGGAGTCGGAATGTATTATTTGTCTTCCCAACGGGCAACACTAATATTTGGAGTCGCTTATTCTTCCAGCAGTCTCAATATCGATCTGAGCTCTCGTTCCACGAAGTTCAGATCCTGCACATCCCATAAGACACTGAAAGTTAAATCCCTGTTTGAATCCACAGCGGAGCAACGTACCGCTTCAATTAATGGAAACCTTACCTCGGAAAGACGAAACAACGTGTGTGAAAACTTCACTGTCCAGAAATCCAAACAAAACAACTTTGCCAGAGAAACGTTCCTTTCGTACTGGGTGTCCGAGAAATTCACAACCAATACTTACAGGCCTACCAAACGTTTGTTTTAGGGAAAAAAACTTTTTATGTCTGTTGGATAATATCGACGGTATTTTCTTGATTGGGTGACAAGTAGCATATTCGATTTGAGGTTTTCATGGTGGTGATGACGTCATTGTAGGTCTTCCGGGTTGTAACATCGTCTACTACCTTCCTATTGAAGGATGATTCAGCCCCGTGTAGCAGTCATTTAGCTTAGGACAGCCTGTTTGCAAGCTGAGAATCAAACCTTGGACACTGAATGTGTAGCAATGCTTACCAATCTGCACAAATTTCTGTGTCCATCTGTAAAGCCATTTGACTTCGTAATCCTGATCAGATGTTCACTGAATTTTGTGTTTGAATGTCAGAAACCCAGAAGGAAAGAAATAACTTGGTATACCTAAACATAGAAGAGAAGATAATATTAAAATTAATTTTAAGGATTTTTTATTCTCAAGGACTCTGTGGAATTTGTTAAATGATAGTAAAATCAGTCCTCTTATCACATGACTTTGTGATGTACTTACAGGCCACAATGCTGCTGACTTTAACCCTCATCACCGTGGCGCTGCTTTCAAGGGTGGCGTCAGAGAACAGCAGTGTTCGACTGTGTCGCTTGCAAGACAGGCTCCTTCCAGAGATGAAATTTCGGAGGGTCTCCTGCAGCCAGTGTTATAAATACATGCATGAATCCAATTTCAAGCCTGGCATGAAAGCAAAGCTAACTAAAAACATGAGCCTTGTTATTGGTAATATTACAGTAAGCATGTTGTCAATTACCTAATTGATACTATTTTGTATTTCATTCATAACTCATCCTCTACGATTATAGAACCCAAAGGTTCAACACCAAAGTACCAAAACCTGCCAGTGGACTTGACCCAGAGCCAGTTCCATTTCCACTGCTACAGCATAGATCCACTTTGTTACTTTATGCTTCATAACGCAAGATTGTACACAGACGCAACTTCATTTTGTTTTGGATTTACTGGTGGAATGATGCACCAACTGGTGCCACTGGGACTAAAGTGGTGGTACTAATAAGAGATTTTATCATCATTTTTAAATAAACAGTTGGAAGTGTTCGTAAAAGTACTACTCCGCCTTGCTGGTATTTATATTTTTTTTCCAGTTTTTGATTTATGAGAAGCTTCTTCCTTAAATGGGCTGCATTCTAAAACCTTATTCCTAACCCCCATTTCTTTTCCGCAAGTCTCATCTTCTCCAGTCGTTAAAGAGAAACAAATTTAATTTAATTAGTGGAAGATGAGGAGGTAGAAGAGACTTTTCTGGAGATGCTGAAGAATACTTACGAACAACTGATGTGTATGTAAAAACTGCATTGTTATGAACCAATCTGTCAAAATGTTAAGGCAGATAATAGCTTCGTTCATACGTATGGGCGTTTGTAATTTAGGGACTTCTGTACCAAATCTTCCTTCTGTCACTCAGACGGATTCCACAGCATGTAAGAAAAATATTTCTTTTAGGTGGAAGCCAGCATGTCTTCAGACCAACTGACACACACATTTATAAATGAGGCTGCGACACAGAAGTGGAGGAAATGTTGCATCAAGGCTGCAGACTGCTGCAAGGAAATGATAGAAGTCACTGGCATTGCTAATGGCAAGTAGGCTGCAACGTAAAAGATTTTGGACCTGGGAGGTTTACAAATTTACATTCTTACAGTTACATAAGAAATTACATCTTTACATTTTTCTGTATTATATGGTAAAATTGGTCTTGGAATGAACACCATCTGGGAAGACTATTTTTGTTACATATCATTATGGATGGAAACTTCTTTAAAATAAATTGTGTGGTGGTTTTATTTTCATCATCATTATTATTATTAGTATGATTTTAATAAAGACAGTATTCCATTAGTGAAACAACATTCCTACTCAACTTTTTTGTGGTCCTTGAATTAAGAAAGTAAAACTTTAAATATAAATTAACGAGTGATGTAGAAATAATTTAACGTGTTGGACATGTGATTACAGGAAGTGACTGGTGTCCTGGTATTTGGGACGGCTGGATGTGCTGGCCAGACACGCCACCTCACTCCACTCGACAGCATGCATGCCCCACATTTATCCGATTTGGAACAACAGAAGACAACTGTGAATGTGAGTAAATATGATTTAAATAAAATGTATGATTACATTGTGTATTATGGAAGAAGATAGGTATGTAACAATGACTTGCCAGATAAAATAAAATTAATATATGTTTTGTATTATTTTTGATGTAGTTATAATAAAAATTTAAGTTATTCCTGTGCCTAAGCACCATGTCGTAATAAACAAAGCTATAATCGGTAAGACCTACATGACAGCAATGGATACCGAGGGACAGCCACCCAACTGCTACTATTGCAACTTCTCAAAATGCATCACAGTGTAACAAATGATGATATTGAGGGATTCCGAAACTACTGTTTGCATAAGCAGGCTCTAGCGTCGTTGAACCAGGGGAGATTACAAATGATGGACCACAATATATGAAGAAGTATATGCATATATTTATGGTTGTTTTGACATATTGTATAACTATTATTATGCTTGTCAGTTATTAATGTACATATTCTTTTACTAGTGACTGTGAGGAAGTCTTGTGAAGGAGACGGACGGTGGCGCGGTCATCCCATATACCAGAACATCCAGTGGACTGACTATTCATCATGCAGCGTCCACAGCATAATGGAGCGCAGGCTGTACATTGGAGTTGCTGCTTACACTGTCACAGCCGTTGCTCTGTTGCCTGCTCTTGTCATATTCCATTTATACAAGTAATAATAGTAATTTGAAGTCTGGGAATGCTCACTATTTTTCAATTCAGAATCTTATATCTTCTATGCCCAATCTAAATACCTATAAATTAAAGATTATAGAACTATAATTATATCTGTTATTTTGTATGGCTGTGAAAATTGGTCTCTTGCTGTAAGAGGGTGTTCGAGAACAGAGTGCTGAGAATACTTAGCTCCAACAGAGACAAAGTACCAGGAGGATGGAGAAAATTACATTATGAGAAACTGTTATTTGTAATCTTCCAACTTACACTTTACCATTCTGTTGGTGTGAATATTTCAGATGGATAACTATCATATTTATCCTTCTGTCACCAAGGTGACATGTTTCAACTTTTAAGATTCATTGTCAGGCCTCCCTTTATATTAATAAAAAGCATATTTCTTTCCTTTGGACTTATCAATCATGTTTTTTTTAAATCTTCAGAAATTTTAAATTGTTTGATCTATAGACTAATCTATTCCCAATCTATGGACCCTTTCTTTACCTTGGATTTTATCTGTTTTAAGACCTCTTCAAAAACCTTAAAATCTTGAAATAATTACTGTGTTTCAAAGGATGGATCTTCCTTTATCACCAGGCAAAATGATAGAGACATTTTTGAAAGTCATGTTGCAAGTATTTGAAGGTTGCCACATTACTGCTCTCAGGTTGCAGAAAAAGACTGAAACATTTATTCACTTTTTTGTTTCCTTTCCAGACAGCTACATGGACATAGAATAGCACTTCATAAAAATCTGTTTGTATCTTTGCTGTTCAATGCTGTTTTTGAAATATGGTTCAAAACTGGTGTTCTTTTGACTGCATATGATGATACCAACAATGGAAATAAGTCTGTTTTGAAACAGGTACACATATTTATAAAATGCTACTAATATCTTTGCAGTTATTAAAGTTTTGATGTGAGTGAGCAACAGGTTAAAAATACCAACATAGAAATATTAAATTTGATGCTAAGAACTGAGTATCACACAAAAATATGAAGATGTGATATCATTTAACAATGAAAGTTTTCTATTGATTTTTTCCAGAATGGTCCTTACTGTAAACTAATATTGCTGCTCACCAAGTATTTCCGGCTCACCAACTACATGTGGATGTTTTGTGAAGGTTTCTACCTACACCGTCTCATTTCTACTACTTTTGCTGAGGAAAGAAGTCTCCTGTTGTTTTATGCAATTGGCTGGGGTGAGTACAGTTATTTTGACAGAATCTGATCATTTTATTTAATGTGGATGTCAAATGCAATGTAAATTAGAATCCATGTTTCAAATTGTATCTAAGAGGACAGAAGTTTCATCCTCTGATTAAGTTTCTGGCTTTGATAAGGTTTGTTTTCATGCCCCACTTCTTTCTGTTCATTTAATTCTTGTTCTTTGTACAAATCTATACCAATGGTTCTCATGCAGAATTTGTTATGGCATTGGTAGCAGAACCTCTGCAACTACGAGGCGCGTCCACAAAGTAAGTTTCCCACTCGTCCCACAGCTAGCAAACCTTATATTGCGCGAAGCGACTGTGCGTACGTGATAGAGCAATGACGTAGCATGGCGCATGCACTAACGGCACTTCCCGCGTTCTCACAGTAGCATCGTTGCAGCTGTTGAAGATGGAG